CCCCCTCCTCCCCCTCGCCCGCCGCCCCTTGCAATTCCGACTTCGCTTTACCGCGAACTACATTTTTCGCCGTTTATCCCGATTTTATTTTCCCAGCCAATCATTCCCCGCCCGCGGCTGCGTCGGATTACAACACAAAAAAGCTCCTCGTATGTCTCGGCGCGATGCAGTTACATCAAAGTGATGAGATTGTTATCATGTTCCGGAATACTTTCGTTGATTTTAATTAACTGCAGCAAACAGACAATTGCGCTCATATCTGCAGAACGCTCTCGTGCGCGAGTTGGTCGGCGCAATCGTATTATACGAACGTCGTGCGTTATTATATCGGCGGTTTGACGCTTTCGTTTCCGGTTGTCGACGACGCGAATGTCTTCGCGGACTATTTACGACAAATCTCGCGTCCCTCACGTGAGAATGCATATTGAGAAGCTGCGTTGGAAAAATGCTCGAGAGTAGTGATAGGTGATCTCGATTTTTAGAAAATCGATATCTTCCCTCTGAAAACCGATCCTTTTCTGTTCGACTTTTGCACGAGTCGATTCTTCCAATAGCGAATCGATTTTCGGTCCTTTGATATGCTTATTCATCAATATGATTGATGAAGATGTTTCGCTTAATGAAGAATTCGACATCTGATAGAAACAGATTATCGTTTTAGATGTGTATTTCAGAAGACTATGTAAGTGATGATGAATTTGGTATAAGCATAAGTTATTACCAGGGTAATAGAATTTCAGCCAATTAAAATGTTAATTACTGTCTCAAGGCTGATATTTCATTCATGATTTCTGCATATAGAACGCGCGAACACCTTGATTATTTGATTTGAGTGATTATTTCGTGCTCAAAACCTAGTCGAATATACGAGAGAGTTATGTGAGAAAGTTAACTTCAAATCACATTATGATTATTGCAAACATACGTGACGAAATATGCACTAATAAAACGCGTATTCTCTCCGTTTTTGTCAACCTTCGTTTGGCAGCAGTCGAGAGTAAAAAGAAAGTTGAGAAAACTGTACTTGGCCTCCTGAATGTTATAATGAAAAGCCACCGTGCTATCTTTATTTCTAAATCATATTTCAAATCCTCATCTTTATTCCTCTTAAAATATACTTCGTGTGAGTTGAATTATTGTTATATATACCCAAGTAGCACATGAAGCTTTAAAACGGCTGCGATAACGTTGTCGCAGCTTAAATCGTATTTTTGTCTAGCACAGTTACTACCACAACGTCATTGTGACATCTTGACGAAGTTGTAGCAGCAGAAGTGGGACAACATTTTTAGGCTTTGAAAACGATGTCGTGGCCGTTTGGCTGCACAACTATTTTGCTGTAAATAAGTGTTGTTATAGCCATTACAACAGTGGCAGTCGGAATAAAAATAAACAACCGAATAAATGGAGTTTTTCACATGTAAATTAATATTCAATGAAAGTTAAAATTTAATTGTAAAATTACGTAAAAATATTGAAGAGAGAATAAAAAAATGTTTGATTCAACTAGAATTGAACTCCGGGCCTTCGCATCAATAAACTTAAATCAAATTTAGAGATTGATTAATCATTGCAAATAATGTATAACACACGTATAAGTATACTAGTACGTATAAGTATACGTATAAGTATACTAGTGTGGATACAAATTTACAAATACACTAATTATAGGACTACATACAGATCCTTAAATATTAATAGAGCTGAAATTGATAGAGCTAAAATAGCTGTGGCTGCATTTTGACTTTTTTACTAGCTGTCATAACGCTTTTGCAGCTTAAAGTCCTGTCATAACGCTTTTGCAGCTTAAAGTAAGCAAAATAACATTTGCAGCTAAATAGCTGTAATTAAGGTTGGCAGGATGTTATACTAGCCACATTTTTGCTGTCGCAGCGAATATAGCCGGACTGTGTTACTTGGGTAAGTACGGCCAATTAACTTTATATTATATTATACTTATAAAATGAGGGGAAACATGTTTAAATACTCATTTGTGTACAAATGAGTATTTTATTTTTTGCATGCAAATGAGTACCTTTATTTTTTTTATTCGATTTTTAAGAAGTTTTAAGAAATCGATTTTTTCAGTTCGATTTTTTAAATAAATTGATTCTAGTTATTCCGATTCGAAATCGATTCAAAAATATATTTTTCCGGTAGAAGTCTATCACCGCTCAAGAGTATTTTCACGCATTATTCTTCAATATCCTGTCGAAAGTTGTTTTACCGCTCGAATGTTAATCCTTGAACTTCTCCCCTCGCTGTTCAAATACATCCCCCGAAGTCACCGCGAAAAAAGCGGATTTCGCGTGGATATTTATGTTTTTCATCTTTCACTGTATCGGGAAGGATGTCGGGGAGGAACCATCGATCCGCTGTCGAGCGATGCGCGCCATGCAGATAGCAACGTCGAACGTGAAAAAAAGGAAGACACGTTACGCCGAAGGAAGACGTCCTACTATCACTTATATTACAGGCGAATAAGTATAGAACGAAATTGTAACGTGTCTGTATTAAACTTTGCGTAACGTTTTTACTCGCCGTTGGATTGAATAAATGCAATTCTCGCGCTCGGCCGGGAATGTTCTTAAGCATCGCAGCTACCATAAGTTTTGACAAAATATAATTTCTCGCGGGAGTTGCTGGAAAAGACTGATTACTCAAAAGCAACGCTTTCAAAGTGTTCGGTTTACCTTGCCTCGTAGGAGGCTGAGGAAGAGGAGGAGGAGGAGCGGGTGGAGTTATAGCGAAGTAAATCTTTACCGTTTGCAGGTATATGGATGCTATATACTTTGGTACATTTTCCATCCTTTCCGCCGTTTATTTATGAAAAGATAGAATAAGCGAATAAAGTCTACGCGGGAAAAGGCGTTCGCAAATATGCGCTCCGTGTACTCGTATTTAGCTTTCCGCGCGTTACATCACGGAATCGCCTGTACAGCCGCGTATTCAGACATTCTTTCGCATTTACGAAATTTTCTTGCGCGCCGCCTGGGGCAATTTAAGTTTGTGTACAGGACGCCTGGTGATAGGCGTTCGCGCATTTTGCCAAATAGGACGGTATTTTTCCATGCTTCTCGTAGCCGTTAAAGTTTCCAAACTAGGTACCTCGATATTTGCATTAAGGCATGGTTAAAAAAAAACCCAATTGTTTCTCTTTTATTCTTCCGTGGAAAGAAACCGAAGAAATATGGAAAAATGAAAAAAAAACGGGGTTTCTTCTACCTTCTTTTTTGCGGGAAGAAATCGAAAAAATCGCGGAAAAATGTGATAATTCGTGTGTTTTCCGAATTTTTTTAGGTATAGTCGAGAGAAAGTTTACCCGAATTTAGCTGGGAACTAAGGTTTTATTTTATATTTACTTTCGGCAAGGTGAACCGTCTGCACCTTTAATCAGCCCGCAAGACTCGAGGTCTATTTGTACCTCGGCGTCTCGATTATGGAAAACCTTATTTCGGGCGAGCAACGCACACGTACGGGGCGCACACGTGGAAGCGTCGTGTGCCGAATTTGAATTTTTAGCCTCCTCGAGCGGCGAGCTCGAACGTGGATCCTCGCAGGGCTCGTAAAACGTAGACAATAATTTTCTCAGACGTGCCCATTATACGAAGACATAAAGATGTATCTTCGTGCATTTAGGTGAAACTCCGGGTGACTATAGGGAGCTCGGTTACGGCGGCACGGAGGGCGCCGGGATGGCCAGAAACGGATCCTTGGTGATCCCGCGGGTATCGCGAGATCATGCCGGATTCTATCTATGCCAGGCGAGCAACGGCATCGGGCCCGGCCTCAGCAAGCTCATTCGGCTAACGGTTCATGGTAAAATATTCACGTAACCTCGAGTTATACCGGCGCCCGGCTCCGAGCCGGTATCCTGCCGGGTATCCTCCCCCGGATTCGCGGCTTGCGACGGATCGGAATTTATCCTCGCTGATCGAAGGTAGCTCTGACGTAGCGCGGCGCGAAAAACGAAGACGTCGCGGCGAGAAAAAAATGTTTCGTAGCGCGGCACGTTCCTCGTAGACGATGGGGCATTCATTATCTTTGACGCATTTACTGGAAGGCGAGAGCGAGGGAGAGAGAGAGAGAGAGAGAGAGATAGAAAGAGAAAGAGAGAGAGCGAGAGAGAGAAAGAGAGAGAGAGAGAGCGAGCTGTAGGAATTTATTATTGGTATTGCACGGTATATGGATACAGGCGGTGAAATGTAATGCGACAGTCATGAATTTAATAAATTTGTTAATTTGAATTTGCACGGTATGTCCGCCAGAAATTCAATAGCATTACTACAATATTCGTCACTGGATAATTGCTCCGCGTCACTGGATGAAAGCCTCTCTCCCTCCCTCTCTCTGTGACATGTTAGTAGCGCGTATCTATATATATACGTACATACATACATGCGTATGTGCGTGATATTTCAGATATCATCGTCCTCCGATAATTCTCTTTTTTCGGCTGAAAAAATAAACGCGCGTTCAACAAAGCGCGTAATCCGCGCAGATTGGTCGCGCGGGGAGGGCGGACGGATTTCGCGTTAAGAAAGTTAAATCGTTCTTTCGTTCACCGTCGTCGTTGTCGTCGTCGTCGTCAGGAAGGATCTCCGTCGGGGCGAGTCGGGGAGAGAATTCGTTTCGTTTTCTTATTTCGCGTCCGTGGCGCATGGTAAGATTGTCGCGGGCAACATTTTGATGAAAAATTCTCACTACAGCAGGCCCCCAGGTGACAGTACGGACAAGACAGGAATCAGTGCGAAGAGGGGAGAGCGCAATATTGCGCTGCGAGGCCGAGGGAGACGCGCCGCTTGATCTTAGCTGGCGTGCCCGTGACAGCAAGATCGATCCTAATTACGACGTTAGGTTCGTATCGAAATTAATTATGCGCGTCTCGCGCGAAGGCCCACAGGCCCGAACGACAAGCACACTCGGAGCGTGTACGAGCGCCGTTTAGGGCGCCGCCGGTTATTTTCGCGCAAAGGAATTCGTAACGAAAACGAATCGAGCCGGGCAAAATTCGCCTTAAGTACAAAATCGCATTGAACGATTTTACGAATTATTAACCCGGTCCACTTCGGATTCGCGACTTCGTGTTTAAAGCGGCTGTTATTAATGATCTCCGGTGCGCTTCACTCGCTTATTCCGACACTTATAGACTTCGAAAGTTTTTACAAATTGCAGACGTAGCAGACTTAGTTCGCGTTAAGAATACTCGCTTGGCTCAGCGCTCGAATTATTTTGCAGTGGATGGGAATTTCTAGCTTGTTTATCGAAGAGATATCTATTATATATCAAACGTCTACCTCCACTCGATCCACTTTACTCGATCATTTTCTCTTTAATATTCGATTAAATATATTCCTAGTCACATTTACCTGCTGCATCGTAGACTCGTTTGTCCCGACGTTCATGTGTGACTACACATTTAAGGAGATTGTATATACATATAACCTCAGTGCGGTATTTTTGGTGATGCGTCAACGGGCCCACTCAGAAACGTAATATTTATCAAGCCAAATTACGTTTCTCTACATTTATTTCACTGTCTGAGTAACACGAAATTTGAAGTAAACATACATGCAGCGATATACATAATATTACGAATACACAAATATTATTTTTTATTTTTCTTATTGACGCTACATTTATCCATTAGTTGATCTAATAGAAACGTACAGATACTAGAAAAATGTACATAAGTGTTTAAATATGTGCGTATGTAAATACAGGGTGATCCAGGCTTTTCCGAACAAAGCCTTTAGCGTTTTGGGATCTGTGTTTACGTAACATTTTTTTTTTATTTCAGTTCATAAAACATATATCAAGGTTTGTATGGAAAAATCTGGGACACCAACTGTATATTTCAAGTACTACTGTTATGAGTCTGATTGGAAACCTGATACTATAACTTACGAACTTCCTACCGCTATTTTCAAAACAAAGTGGCCAATAATTCCGAAACTTATGTACGATGCCTGCATATTAGTCTTCAATATCACAATAGAGTTTTCCATTAAAATCCTATCTTATATAATTCAGAAGGTATCATAAATAGAAATTAAAAATAGCACGTTAATCTCAAAGAGCATGTGTCTCTCGAAGAGAAGAAGCGTCAACTTTAGTTATAAACATCTCACTTCTCGAACGGTCGATCTTTTTCCAATTGCACAAACAATTAGACGAATACCTCGACGTACACGCGTCGGTGCGAGATTCACCGTACTCTCATCCTTCATCTGCACCTTACAACCTCTTTAACGCGAAGCTCTGCTTTTGTATTTCGGGGGAGGGGGGGG